CACTGGGGCTTACACCGTGTGGCCTCCGTGCCTGCGCGCAGGCGTTCGGGCGGTGCGGCTTGTGCGCCTGCGCGTAAGGGTTCAACGCGTGCGGCCTCCGAGTTTGCGCGTTGGGCTTCGGACCAAGTGGTGCTGGCGCCTGCGCGCTGAGGCTCGGGCCCCGAGCTGGCAGCGGGGCCCAGAAGCCTGCTTCCGGAATGAATCGACGCAGTGGTTGGAAAATACAGTAGTCTTCCAGTTTGCATGAGTGTCTTCTCATTCTAAAAAGGCCTTCTAGAGGACCCGCAGGGCGTGGAGAAAGACCCGAGACTGCGACTTGCGACCTCTAAACCCCGGACATACATTGATCCCTCCATCTTTACGGAAGACAAACCCCAGAGTTGTGTTCAGGCCGGCTGGGAGTTCCCAAGCCAGGGGCTGTCCAGAGGTGGTTGCTGTGGTTAGGAAGAGTGCCAAGACTGGGTGGTATTCGGGTTGGCGTGATTACCTGGCTGGGGTGACGACCTGGCTAGGGGTTCCCCAGCTGGCCAACCCCCCTGGTCACCCGCGGGCCTTTCCTGCGGGGTGCCAGGCCGGCGCCTGCGGCCCGCCCGGCCTCTGCCCCGCGCCTGCAGGCAGCCGGGATGCGAGGAGGAAGAGCCTTTTCCGCACCAAGCGCTCTTAACGGGACTGCGGCCCCTGCGCTCCAGAAACTGCCTTGGGCTACCCGCTCTCCAGAGCCCACCGTGTTCTCCTGTCCCCTGCAAGTTGAGAGAGGAAGCAGGGCTGAAATTGGGGTTTCCTAGCCGGTCGGTGCTGGGACGAGAGGCCTGAACACTACGCTGACAGCCGAGGGCGGCCCTGAGTTCTCCCTTTGAGGGGTTCCGTGTCATGGGGAGAGGCACTGGGAAAGTTACTCTCGGCCACGTCTGGCCTCTACGGTACGCACAGGTACAGAGGGAGGAGTGGTCAACACTAAGCGACAAGGACATCTCCCAGGATTTAAGTCAGAGCCGAAGTCAGCCCATGACAGGCCGGGGTCCTGGAATCCTCATGCCACAGGGCGGACCTTGGCCCTGGCTCTACCGGAGGTCTGTGATACAATCTGACCCACCTTTCTGGCACCATCCTCCCCACTCCTGCCTTGGGACTCCCTGGCTCTTTTCTCTGGAACGCTGTTATCTCAGGTGTCTGTAGCTCACTTCTCAGCTCTTAGAGGTCACCACTTCCTGGAAGCCTTGGTTCCTCACTGAAAATGCTCCCTGCACTCCAGAACGCCCTTGGCATTCTTCCTTGCTTGACTTTGTGGTGTACTTTATAAGGCATCTGACCCTTGACAGCTTTATTTCCTTGGCAAGTGGTCTGTTTCCCTCACTAGGATATAATTCCAGGAGGAGGGACTTTGGGGTTGTTTTACGCCTAGAACAGTGCATAGCATACAAGAGACAGATTTGTTGGATGACTAAAACATGTGGGAAAAAGTCCTTTACCAAGCAAATATCGACTGTGAATGAATTTGCTGGAAGTATTCCCCATGTTGCTGGGTCTGCCTGTGACCTGCCTTGCCCTTGCATGATCGTCAATCACGTGATGTTTTCAGCATGTGGCATGTTACCTCCTATAAACTTCACATCACCCATGTCAGCCCCGTGTCTCCTGAAAGGCCCTGAAGCTGGCAAGAGATGCAGGCATGCCAACTGCAAAACTCTTTCTGCCAACCTGTGGCAATGCCCCTCCTAGTGGACGTCAGATCATCCCATCTGTGGCATATTTTTAGCTTTTCTGATAGTCATCCTCTCTTTTCCACAAATCATAAAATTTCTGCTGGCACAAAGCTGCCCGGCTAAAAGCCACATTCTCGAGCCTCCCTGGCAGCAACGTGGCTAGTGGGATGTGTGCAAAGTGACACGTCCACTTCCCAGCCTCTCCCTAAGGAAGCTGACCACGCAAGCCCAGAAGGCAGGGCCACAGGGAAGACCAGAGCAGCCAGCCCAGGCCCAGCCACAACTGCTGAACACCAGCTCCAGACTCTTCTTGGTATCATGTTGAATTTGAGGGTAGGGGAAGCCCGACCTGCCCCCTCGTGGCCCCATGAGCTTCTAACAGGTGAGGTGTGCGGTGCGAACACCTGGCCAAGGGTGGCCCTTTTCCACACAGCAGAGCTTGAACTGGAACCCAGAGCAGCTGGCTCCACAGGAGGCGTTCACCCGCTCTGGGAGACGCTGCACTACAGACCCCTCATTCTACGTTGTCCTGGGTTCTGGGTGACCGTCCTTTGAAATGCACGAGCCTTGCTAGCGACTTTGTTTATCCGCAGGGGTGTGAGCGCAGAGGCGGTATCCCAGAGCCACGCTGGCCCATGCTAGCGGCAGGAAGTCTCCTGCGTGAGGAGTCCTTGGAGGGGGGGGCCTCCCTCTGACGCAGAGGGTCCACATTGGGCTGCCCAGCACGGTATGGTACGGTGCGGTGCAGCACAGGCAAGACAGCGCGTGCACTACCAAACGGGGTGGCCTGTTCTCAGGTCAGCTCCAGACACAACACCGGGCACCATCTTGGGGCAGGTGCTATCACCCTTGGCTGTGGGCCCACTGCCTGAGCCCCGAGCGCATCCCGGTCCACCCCCCCACCCAGGAGTGGCCAGGGCTGGAGAGAGGGGCTCCTGCCCAAGAAGCGGGCTGGGCCGAGCCAGGGGCCGCGGGCTGGGGAACGGGCGCAGGACTGAGCCCCCTCCGCAGGCCCGCCTTGGAGCAGCGCTACAAATAAACCGCTTTATTTACACCGAGTCCCCAGGTCACGCTCCCTGTGCACCAGCCCAGGCAGAGGCCGTGCGGGGCAGACCCAGGGCAGCGGCAGCCGAGGCTCCTAGTGGACCAGCCGGGCCAGGGCAAAGGCACGAGGGCTTGGGCCCGCCTGTGGCCCGGGAAGGCAGCAAGGGGACAGTCAGCTCCGGGGGCTGCAGCTCTGCTCGTAGGATGGCGGAGCCTCTGCGGGGAGAGCGCCTGCTGTGCACAAGGCCCCAGTGGTGCCCCACTCACCATGCGGGTAGCCCCAAGAGCTGTACTCCGGGGGCAGGATCAGGCTGCCGGTGGCAGGCGCCGACCCTCCGGAGCCATCCGTGAAGTAGGGGACTGTGGCATCCCTGGAGATGCACAAGGGAGGGGGCAGAGAGTGGGGCACGCAGCTGTGGTCCTGAGCGCAGTGTTCCAGGGCGTCAGGCGGGGAGCTAAAGGGGCCCGGTGGGGAGTGGCTCTTGGTTGATAGGACGACCGTGGGGTCCATGAAGTGGGGCACGCCTGCTGCCTCCACTTCGTCCTGGGGCGGTGCTGAGGGCACCACCTGGGACTGTGGTGACCCTGGGCCCGGCAGGAGGCTCAGCGGGGCGTGGTTCAAAGCGATGTTACCAATGAAGACCGGAAGGGTCACAGTGGCCTCTGGGGCCTTCAGGGAGACCTGGAGGAAGAGGGGCAATGAGGGGCTGAGGCTAGGACTTGTGTCCACCCCCTGCCATGACCCCGGACATCCCCACCCCGCACCTGCATGTAGTAGTCCACGTGGATGAGGCTGCAGCCCGGGAGAGCCGACTGGGGCAGCGGTGGCACCAGGATCTGCTGCTGCCACTCTGCGCGCCTCCAGGCCTTGGCTCCAGCACCCTCCACCTCCACAACAGTCCGCACGTCATAGATCCAGCGCCTGGCCTTGTAGGACACTTTCTGGGGAGGGCCAGCCTGTGAGCTCACAGAACCACCAGCCCACCTGCCCCCTAAGCCAGCCCAGGCAGCCAGTGTGGACTCTGACCTGCAGCAGGCTGGCCACCACAGGGCCGGTGTCCTTGCCAGACTGGTTCTCAATGTCAACCTGCAGTCGCAGCACCTGGCCCACCACGTAGCCGCGAAGGTCAGTGCTGGCCATGAGGGCTACGCCCCCCGTCTTCAGGAGCTTGTAGGAGAACTTCTTGGTGGCCGAGGCTATGTTGGGTTTCTCAGGAGGGAGGGTAAGGAGGGGTTTGTGAGTGGGTGGGCTGGGCCCACTCAGCCCTGGAGATCCCCTGCCCTGCTGCTGGATGAAACCACTGCCCTTTCAGACCCTGGCTGCCCTCCTCACTCAACAGTTGTGCCTCCCTACCGGCCCTCACCTCGATGTCGGGGATGCTGTTCAGGTTCAGTGGGCTGAGGATGTAGAACACACGGCTGCACGTGTGGTCCTTGGAGAAGCGCGGTGTGTCAATGGTGGCCCGCACCTGGTATGCAATCTTCCCGAAAGGTCCCTCGAAGGACGTGGGTGCTGTGGCTGAGGGCAGGGAGCACACGCTGGTACCAAGCTGCCTCCCGGCCTACAGGCCCCCTGCCAGGACCCCCTGCCACCCCCAGGCCCCTGGCCAGGCTGAGCTCTCACCAGGAAGCAGGAACTGGAAGGGGAAGGTGTGCTCACCAGCAGGCAGGCTCCCTGCAGAGACAGGAAAGGAGTGGTGGAGAAGAGGCCGTAGAACCAGGCTGGCCCTTCCTCTCAGCCAGGGCAGGACCCCCTGAGGCCCAGCAGCAGACATGGGCCGTCCTCACCTGACCCCAGAGCAGGGAGCATGGGGCCGTGGCCTGCCCAGAGGATGGGGGCTGCATGGAGGACAAGAGACTAGAGCTTGGTTTGAATAGGACTAGGGTAGGGGGATGGACCAGGAGCCAGAGCTCTAGAGTGACCAGCTCCTTTGGCATCTGTACCCCAAACCTGGCCCCAGGAGAAGCTGGCCCCATTAGGAGTGTCCGAGACTCACCCTTGTCCGCCAGCGACAGGGAGCTGTTGAAGTAGCCCTCCTCCACTGCCCACGTGGCATCGTGGACTTTGTTGGAGACCCCGCAGGACCCTGTGCAGGTCACCCGGATGGCTGCAACAGGGAGTGGCTGTGAGTCCCAGCCACCAGCATGGGAATTCAGGCAGGCAGGCAGCACCCTGGACCTAGACAGCCCCCCTTCGGGGCCATCTCCTGCCCACCCCTCCCCCTAGACTGCTCCCAAGGAGCAGGGGTGGTAAGGGGCCTGATGGACAGTTGTCTGTCCTGCAGTCCAGGGAGGGGCCCCAACTGCTGCGCAGATTCCCCCTGGGCATGATCACCTGCTGACTCTGGCTCCCAGCCACATCTGGGCACCCTCAGCCAGTGAAAACCCAGCTACCCTTCGGGGTGCTTGGCGTACAGCTGACCTCTGAACCCACCTTCCAGCTGCATAACAGGCGAGTCAGTTAGGCGGGAGGCCCCACCTCCTGCTATGGGAATGCGGTCAGACCTGCCCGGGCAGATGCTGGTCCTCAGCCTCTGGCCACCCCCACTTCCCAGGCCAGTACTCCCAAGAAGGACCAGCATTCCACCTCACAGAGGCCCTCAGACCTGCCCTGCTGGGGGAGCACCCAGGCCCAAGAGCCATTCGTTACAGAGGCGACCACCACTCTGTGGTCAGGACCTGGAATTGTCCACCCAGCAGAGGTGTGCCAGGCCCACTGTGGTCAGAAGCCAAGGCTGGACAACAGAAATGAACCCAACAGAACCATAGCTGGAGCCCTGGGAGGGGCCACAGTAACAGGAACTGGCCACTCCACCTGCTCTCTCAGGCAGGGCTGAGTCAAGGCCAAAGACATCAACCCCTCCTACTGGCTCTTCTCCCTAATTTGACAGGGTCAGGTCACAGGAAGGTAACTCCACTCTGACATCCTCCTGAGGGAGCTACTGGTATCCCAAGTGCCCGGGACCAGGGGTCAGCCAATCAGACTTCCAGCCCAGCCCCACCTGGTCACCCAGGCCTCCTGTGAGTCCCCAATCCATGGACTCCTACCACCTGGCTCGGTCTGCAACCGTCGGCCTCTACCCTCAGCCCCCAGGTGGCTCTCCCCAGATGCTCCTCCCAGTTCCAAGCCCTTCACCCGAAGAGAAACCCCTGCTTCCCACTGCACCAGCCAGCCCCACTGCCCAACCTCAACGCTGATTTCCAATCCAAGCCCCTTCAGCCACCCCCTCCCAAGGCCAGGCCTGGGACTCTTCCCAGCCTGGACACCTGGAGCACCAGGGCCGCTCTGACAGATCAGCAGCCAAGGAGAAAGACGGGCAGGCACAAACAAGCAGCTCCGAAGGAGAGGGAAGACTGGAAAGGCCATCAGTCGCTGACAGTGGCCCACGGAGAGGGCACACTCCCCTGCACCTGTCTGGCCTGTGGCTTCTGGGACCCACAAAGACTGGCCTGGGGCCAGCTTGATGCCATTAAACAACCCTACTGATGGCATGCGGAGCTGAAGGGCCACCAGCCCACTCTGTGCCAAAGCCTCACTCACAATGCCATAAGGTGCAGGGCAGTGGTTGCTCTCAGCCTCCTGGTCTGGGGGTGACATTACTTCGGGGTGACTCTCAGGTCACTGGAGGTATCCAGCCTCGCTAGGAGTCAGGGAAAACTCAAACAGCTTACCACTGTAACCCATTGTTTCAGCACAAGTTAAATATTTGGACAGGCACTAGAAAAGAGGAAGCACGTGCCCTACGTGCCCTACACTGCTGTCACAGTGTAGGCCGTCAGGGCTTGGGGAAGGGGCTGGGCACATGCCTCCTACAGAGCCCCCTCCCAGGAGGTGGACCCATTCTCCTCCCGCTGCCATGGCTGCACCACTGTGACAGCGACAAGCCTGGGCACCCCCCGGTGTCCAGCAGCAGCAGGGGACTCACTCCTACTGCTAAGGTAAATGGGCCATAGGCCTGACTCCAGAGAGACCACCAGCATTCCAGTTAGCCCAGATTCCCTGCCCCCATGCCAAGAACCCCATTTTAAACACACACCAGTGTCCTACGGGACACCCTGCTATTAGCACTGCCCCCAGCCAGTCTTTCCGTGGAGCCAGCCCTGCTGTCCCCTCTCTGCTAGGAGAGCGATGGAGGGGGGTGGGGCAAAGGTCTTCCCACAGAAGCCTTAGCTTCCTCAGTTCAGCCTGGGACAGTGCCCAGGGAGTCAGTTCTCATTGGTCCAGGCCCATCCCAGTGGCCACATTTTTCCTGCCCAAACCGTAGGATCAGTCAGGTTCACATGATGTGGTTCTGCTCAAGAAGTGAGGGGAGCCCAAACGGGCCTTTGCTCTTAGGGGGAGACTCGGACTTTGGAGACTGCCTGCGACGGCAGGGGCTGTTGCAGCCTTTTTGGGATGACATAACTGGTCTAAAGAACCAGCCAATCTGCCAAGGGTGGCAGCGGTGAAGAGTGGAGGAAACTGGGCCCGAGACCACAGTAGTGTCTTTCAGAAGTCATAGCCTGGCAGTGACGGCAGCCAGACTGGGTGATCCAGAGCAGTTACCACAGCAAAGACCCAGAGCCCCTCTGCCTTCTTGATGTCCGAGTTTAGGTCACTCCACTAGGGCTCCAGCATCACCCCAACCCAATGAAGGGAGTTCAGCACCTGCTCCCAGAGGCTCACTGGGCCCTCGCACCCAGCATGTCTGCCCTTGACACAGCCATGGGGCGGAATAGGGGCAGGGAGTGTTCTGGCAGGTGCAGCCCCCAGGACCCAGCACCCAGGGCGGGTACAGATTGCAGAGCCACCCGGCTGGGCAGTGCCATCTAGATTTAAGCAGTGTTGGGTCAGCACGAGAGATGGCCCCAAGCTGGCAGCCGTCTGTTGTGGAGACAGCTGCAGCCTTTCTGAAAGGTCTGCTGCTGCTCTGGCTGCTGAAGGAAGATCCCGACGCTGGTTGTGCGCCGTGAGAAACACGGGCTTTCCCCCTGAACCAGTCCGCCCACCCACCTCTGCTAGCAACCTGAACACCTCCGCTTGCTCCTCATCCTCTTCCCAAAGGCCTCCAGCTCACCCTCCACTCCCCACACCTGGGGCGCCCCAGCCTTGACCACAGCCTTCCACGAACCGTATGGCCGTGGAATGGCTTCCTTCCTCCATGCCCCAACCAACATGGAGAGGAGAACGGCAGCGGCCACTACTTCCGTGTGCAGTGATGTGGATCAACAGAACTCAAACACGGACAGTGGCTGGTGGTGCTGGGGGGATCCAGCCGCACACCTGAAACCCAGAATTCAGGCAGCCCCCACTGACCACCAGCCCTGGAGGGGCTGGGCCTGGTCTCCTTCTCCAACACCCTCAGGGCCACTCACTCCACAAACATTTCCTGCACAGGTCCAAGCCCCCACCCTGCAGCAGGGGGCCCTCCCTTCCTTGCAGTTGCTCTGGGGGCGGAGGGCCTCACCACTACCTCACTGGCACAGAGCTGGAATCTTGTGAATGAAAGAATAACAGGGTGCCCCTCCCCTTCCCACAACGCGGAAGTGGTGGAGGAAGCCTGGAGTGGCCCCAGCACCTGGTGTTCCTTGGGCCTCCACAGCGGGGATAATCGGGTTTCTGGCCTGATCAACAGTCCACCTGCTCCCTCACTCAGAGAACACTGCCTGCTTCCTTTGCCACTCCCTGTGATCCCAGGAAATTCACTCACATCCCACCCCAGACCCCCATATGTGGCCAGAGGGCCCCCTGACTGCAATCAACCAGGAGCCTCAGCAAGAGCTTTCTGCTGCCTTCCACCCCCACGACTTCAGCCCTGCCTGGGAGAGTGGGTGGAGTGGTCAGTTTAAGCACCCCAGGGGCTGGCCCCACTGCCTCTGGCCCGCCACAGCTCCCACCCCAAACCTTCAACCCCAGCTGAGAAAATGGTTAAGGAGGCATCATCATCAGGTCATCATGAGGAGGCCCCACAGGGCTGGGAGCCTCCCACAGTGGCAAGCACCCCAGGCGCTTCTGAGAGTAAGCCAGGGTGGAGAGAGCCCTGCACGGATGCCCCAGCTACCCTCAGCTGAGGCCACAATCCGGCCAGGATCTGGGTGCCAGCTCTGCTCACCCCACCCTTAGAGTCCACCAGTTCCATCCACTTTGGATGGGCAGATGAGGTCAGCACCTTCAAGAGACCCAGTGTGAGCCACCACAGCAACCTGATCCCCAGTCCCAACGTCCCAGAAGTCTTCACGACAGAAGCTGGCACCGCCACAGGGACTGGCCTGGAAGGCTCAGGTTCAGCTCCCTGGTGGCAGGCTGGGCCAGAGGCGAGGGGGAGGCGAACTGGACACTGCTCTCCCAGCTGGCAGGGGAAGCCTGGGCAGCAGTCAAGGAGGGCCGTGTGGGCCCTACGCTCAGGCCAGGGCAGCCCTGGAAAAGGGGGACCTAAGCAGGTTTTGCACGGGCAGAAAGGGGAGCCGTCAGGGAGGCAGGCGCAGAGACCAACAGGTGCAAGTCGCGCAGCAGACCCTGGGAGCCCGCCGGGACACTCCCGGAAAAGACGAATCCGAGTGACCTTTGGCCAGGTGGACAGTGTGTGGGCACCAGGAGCGCTCCAAGCCCTGTCCTGTCCCGCGGTGGGTCTGCCGGGCCGGCCGGCCGGCCGCACCCGAACCGTCTCTGCCCCGCGGGCCCGATCCCCTGCCCTGCCCTGCAGCCGGGGCCGGAGGACAGGACCAGGGCTGTGCCGCGCAGCGCGCGCTCCCCACGCGTCCCCGGGCGGCGGGGACTGCGGCCTCTTCCGGGGTCCCCAGCGCCGCGCCCGCCCGCCCTGAGGCCACGCCGGCCCTCCTGCGAACCCAACCCGGGACCCCGGCGACCCGCGCCCACCTCGAAACGGCAGCGGCGCGCCCAAGCGCACGCAAACGGCTCCAGCCAGCGCCTCCCCCGGACCGTAGACGACACGACCGTGGCTCAGGCGGACCTCGAAGAGCTGCAGACGCCCCATGCCGCGAGCCCTCGCCAGGCGGGCCGCGCACTGACGCCGCCGACCTGCCTGCCTGGCCGCCCTGCCCCGCCCGCGGGCCCGCCCCGGCCGAGACCGAGTCGAGCCCCGCAGGAGAAGGCGCAGCTGGCGGAGACTGGCGCACCGGCGCCCCCTGCTGCCCCGGGAGGCGGAGCCGACTCACCTGTTGGGGGCGGGAAGCGGGGCGGCCCCAGGTTATCGACCCGGAAGCGGCCCGCGCTCGGGGAAGGGAGCCTCGCCCAGCCCAGGTGGGGAGCGAGGCGCTTGCTCCGCCTCTGCCACCGCCGGCACTCCCGCGCCACGCCCCTGGCGCCTGGCTCCCGCCCCACGCCAAGCCCCCACATCACGCCTCACGCCACGCCCCGGCGCCCGGCCACGCCTCACACACAACCCGCCCGCGCCACGCCCCCGGCGCCGCGCCTCGCCCCCGAGCCCCGCCTAGGAGCCCCGCCCCTGCTGCCAAGCCCCGCCCCGGGTCCGCCCCCGCCCCGCCCCAGGCTTCCCCCGCACCCGGACCCGCCCCACTAAACGGAAGCGCGTCACGGGAGGCCCGCTGGATCCGGGGACGGTGCGCGAGCAGGGGGGATTGCGGGAGCTACGGACCCGCAGGCACCGCCCCTGCCCTGGCCCCCACGGACCCCTCCCCGGGCCGCCCTGCCACCCTTCACCCCCACCCCCGAAGACTCGTGCCTGACGTCTCCTCCTCAGGTCCTCGCTGTGGGCGCGGCCTCTGCTGCCACGCAGCGCTTGGCGGAGACTTTGCGGTCGCTCATCCTGCAAAAGTGCCCGTCGAGGGCCCGCGCGGTCGTGGCTCGGCAATGTCAGGGGAGAGACCCCCGAGAGAGCAGCATTTGAGCAGACCCCTCTAGGGAAGGAGCCAGAGCTGCAGGCCTGAGGGCGCCGCGACAGCGAGTGCCAGGCCCCGGGCACGGAGGAGGCCAGGGGCCTTGAAGGACGGCTGACCTCGCTGCCCACTGGGGTGGGGACAGCGCCACGTGGGGGGACGCTGTGGATGGCTCTGAGAACCTGGTTATTTGTTTAAATGCAGCTGTACAGTTATTCACCTATGCAAACCATGTTTCCAGAAAATAAATCCGGCGCCCTCCCCAGCTTCTCACCCTAGATGCGGCTTCCCCTCACCACCATTACCTTAAGCTAAAACGTACGTGATTCTGCCTTAGTTTTCTTTCAAGACGTATGTACACGCTTTCTAAAATTTGTCTGATAGGGTTCTTAGTGAATTGCTTAAGCAAAGCCTGTGTGTATATATTGTGTTGTTAGATGCTGTTGAATCAGCTCCAACTCATAGCGACACTGCCTGGTCCTGGCCCAACCCCAAGATCCTTGCTGTACCTGAGCCCATCCTTCAGCCACTGTGTCCATCCATCTTGTTGAGGGCCTTCCCTTCTTTCTTTGACCCTCCACTTTACCAAGCATGAGATCCTTCTCCAAGGAGTGAGCCCTTCTGGTAACGTGATCAAAGTAGGTGAGAGGAAGTCTGGCCATTCTTGCTTCCAAGAAGCATTCCAGTTGCACTTCCTCCAGGACAGATTTGTTAGTTCTTCTGGAAGTCCATGGTACTTTCAGCATTTTTGCCAACACCACAACTCAAAAGCATCAACTCTTCTTGGGTCTTTCTTATTCATAGTCCACCTCTCACATGCATATGAGGTGGTTGAAAATACCATGCTTTGGGCTCGGCACATCTGTCTTCAAAGAGACATCTTTGCTCTTCAGCACTTGAAAGAGGTCTTTTGCAGCAGATTTGCCCAGTGCAGTACAATGTCTGATTTCTTGACTGCTGCTTCCACTGGTGTTGAGTGTGGAACTACGTACATGTGTATACATATGTTATGTATTTTTTTTCAATCACTCTTGTATGGTAGGTAAGTAATTCAGTTAACTAATTCCAGATTCTTTTCAATAGTATAGTTTATTGTGGTTTTATTCTATTTTGTCTTGGGTCAGAGTATACATAAAACATATACTTAAGATTTTCTACATGTGCAGTTCAATGACATTGGTCAGTTCCTCACACTGTGTCACGACCCTCCCTATCCCCACCCACACTGCACCGTTAACTTAGACTCTGTCCTCAAGCTTCTCCTCTGTGTTTTAGAGTTCCAGCCATCCATTCCACCGAACAGATAATTCTTGTAAAGAGTGCAGTGCTCAAGGGAAACATTCTTTCCAAGTTAAGCTAAACTCTTGTTTCATTTCAAGATGATGTCATGGAATAGTTTTGGTTCAAGGCTTCAAGATAATCTCAGAGCAACAGACTTGGGAATTGAGCCCAGTCATAATGGGTCTAGTATGGATTCTACGAGTTTGAAACTCTGTTCCACATGTGTCCTCTTTGTACTTAGAATCCATATGCTGATAATGGTGCTGGGCACCACCCTAGTCTTCTCATGGCAGTGGAGGTAGTAGTTTATGGAGGCAATTCAACCTGCAGCCCATTGCCTTCTCGATTTCCTGGGGCTCCTTCCTCTGCTGTTCCAGGCAATGAGATCAGTTTTACATCTTGGATGGTGACTGGCCAGCTTGTAAGACTAACCAAACTAGGAGGTTGGAGAGAGGGCCAGTTGAGGGACAGTGATTTAAAAGGTAGCTCTAGGAGGCGGGACAAGATGGCAAACTAGGCAGAAGGATTGCACAGACCCTCTTCGACAAAGAAAAGGGAAACCAATTAACGCAGACACAGAAGATAATCTTGGACCCCTGAGCCTTGAAGGAAAGGATGCAGAATTGGACTAAACCCCAACTAGCAGAAGAATTTGCGTGAAAATACCA